GTTTGATGTGAGAATTGTTTTATTAGTTGTCTTCATAATCACATGTATGGCGCTTGCTGTGCATAGTTGAGCACAGCATTGTTTTAAATACTTCACTGTATGTAATGTATGGTACATACCGTTTCATGCGGGGGTTATCGTTTCTGCCTGGTTTATTGCTTTAACACAAAAAAATTAACTTCCAGCAGAGATCATACACCCGTATATGTTCTTTGCTTCTGGATACATAGGAATTCAACAGGTTGGTCTGTGGTTTGCAATTATTTTCCAAAAAGATAATACGGTTGCATGATATCTTCACGATGTTTGGGTTGAACATAGTAACATTCTTCTAAACAAATTTCCAATCTAAGCCGGAAGCAATCACAACACAAACCCAGTTAACCAAAAGGAACCATACACAAGAGTGAGTGAGGTAGTTGGGTTTAACGCCGTCTTGAACAGTATTCCTTGTCAGCTTGATGTGGGGGGAAAGTCTGAAGTGATGCAGGTCTTAGACGTTCACCACTTTGGTGAAACCAACGAGCAAGGGTTTTTTGCTGACAACAAAATCGGGGCGAACTGAGATTCAAACACACCGTCATTAGATTCTGGCGTGCCCAAGGGACACAACTCTGCATGGCGAATTGCAGCGCCTTCGGCGACTGGGCCAATCATGCCCCCGTAAACAACTGTAAGAAACTATTACACAACAAAGATGTTTTAGATGAGATATGTATTGCGAAACATTCCATGAAGAAACAGTGGCAATATTACAAAATCACAAACTACAAAATACATGCACAATAAACGACAATTAAAAAACACAGGAACATTCAACATTCAAAGGAGGTACATTATAACAATTTTATTTCAAAAACAAGTGCATTATAATGATATGGAAACAATATGAGAATTGAGAAAACTATGGTAATGTTGTACATACATGTACAAGGAATTTGTTTGTAATTGTTGATATGTTAACAGATCTTGGAAGTTGTTTCTGAAAAACTGTTGGTAAAGTTATTAGAATCTGTTCCTTTTAACAGAGTGTACCAAATTCTTTATCATGATTGGGGATTATTTGTGATTCTCTTTCTTGGTTGTATTATGTAAGACAGTGCGTAATGTTGTTCATCTTCTGAAACATCACATGTTTCACAGATACGTTGTTCAAATGGGGTTGGTGTTTTTGTATATCTACATTTTTTTCAATTTTTAGTTTGTGATTACTTAAACGAAGTTTTGAGAAAAGTGACCTATGGCCTTTGTATTCTCAATATTTATTGATAACGTGACCAAACTGTATGTTCCTAACTTGCTGCTAGATAAATGGGAATCCATTAATGATTGCATAATTTTTTTACATTTGAACTGAAGTATATTTAGAGTGGATTCATTACATTTTTTGTGTTTACTATTTTAAAGTTTGCTTTATTTAACCCAACCAACATTTTGACCAGAAATATTGATATTTGCTGCAAAAGCATGCTCTAGAATGACATTTGTTGTGTTATCTATATAGGATTTGTTTTATTGGTTCTAATAGTGGGTATATATCAAGTTTTGCCTGACAGGCCCAGTATTCTTGCTTGGGTTTTCTTTGTGCTGACCAATTAAGACACTGTTTCTTTTATTGTGCTTTCCAAAGATAAATACATTAATAACAACCAATTTGTACTTAACACAAATTGCCTCCTCCCATAGCTTACACTTATTTCCTCTGCACATAACATTATATTGCGGGGAGCTATTGATGCTCTGCAGCAATCTCTACTTGTATGGTTCAGGGAATGTGAGACAAACTACATCACGGTCTCTATCGCCGTCGTGATCTTTAGAGCTACGAAATTAGAGCCATCTGAGACAGCCACTCGACACCTGTTTGCACCCATCAGATACCAGTCACTACTGTCACTGCTCCTCTCTCCAAACGAAAAAAACCCGAAAAATGTCGGAAGTGTATATTTTTAATCCTTCTAATTTACTTTTTAGATACATGATTTAACTTTAAAGTACTTATATAGATATATGTGATGCTGGTACCGTTTTGTCGCCATTGTGTAGTTATTGTGGAGTTATTATGAATATCAAATATACTAACGTAATCGGGTGGTCAGGCTCGCTGACTTGGTTCATGCAATTCATCGTATCCCAATTGCGTAGATCGTTGCTCTTGATGTCAATAACTGGATTGTCTGGCCCAGACCGGATTATTTACAGACCGCCGTCATACAGCTGGTAATTGTTGAGTGCGGCGTTTAACAACAATCAAACAAAAACTGAGTGCAGGACGACTTGTATTATACATATATTTTGTGGACCTATATGTATGTACATTTGGATGATATACCTCCTTAAAGAAAGTGTTCGGAGATGACTGTGTACGCAGCGCGGGGTGATTCGAAATACGGCTGCCTTCAGCGTTATGGTCAATGCAGGGTGACGTGACGACCTCGTTCTTGCGGGCTAAATGTAATAAAACGACACTGCTAGCGTGCTGATTGTGTAGTCTTATCTATTTTATCTATATGTTTTTTCTATATAGGTTGTCTAACGTTCATGGTGTACAACGTGTAGACCGTACAAGATGAATTTGATCCAGCTAGACGTAGATTTTTTTCCCTACATTACCCGGTGTATATCGTGTTGACACAACCCGTCTCTATTGTGGTATGATGTACTTTCAACACACACCCTGTATACATCAAACCAGGTCGCACGCTCTAGCGAGCGCGGGTTAAACGACGAGGCCACGTCAGTTGTCAAGCGCGCTCAATTCAAACTGGGCTGACGGGTACGGTCTGTCTATTCAGGGCAGCACGCTATACATTTAGCTCTATTCGTAACCCTTTACTTTTGTTTTCTTATGAATTCTTTTATGCCTTATAAACACACACCTTTCATTCCCCCTCACCTGTGACGCGCTGTTGATGCATGAGTCATCCTATCCGATCACGTGACTTGGATCAACCAATCACCTTCGCATCCGCCTGGATCAACCGGATCAACCAAAAAAGGTTCCTGCGGACTTAGACTATACTACTCAGATCGATAACCAAGGTCTATGTTGTGATAAAACGGGTCTAACATCGCGCAATGTGTGAGGACCTTGATTAAAAACATGAAGAGATTTGGAAAATATCAGTTGACAACGAGTTGGCGGTGCACATGCTTTGCAAATCCTGCAATCGACCAAAATCTGCACGACAGTTTACGAACCGGATTTCGATTTCGGTGAACGATTTTGATTGGACTATGGATAGACTCGTTAGTCCAGCCAAAATGTAACTCCAAAATACCAGCCTAGTTCGGCAAGGGTGGAAACTGGACTTTTAAAGTCAGTTAATTCTCTTGCCTTGGGAAGATGGCATACCACATGCGCCGTCAGTTTAAGGTTGGACCGTCCGGGTCAGCACACCTAGCGGGTTAGTGAAGGGAAGATACATTGAAAAAGAGCGTCCATTAGGCTAACCTCTCTGTGATTGTACTAGTTGTCTTCAATGCTCAGATATCCTGACTAAATTCATAAGTCGTGTCGCCTATGTGCGTAATCTTGTTGAACAAGCAATATCCTGTTCTAGACTAACGGCGCTAAGTTTCTGAAAATATAGAATTTTGATGGAAACAAACAACTCCATGTAGTTACCATATTCGACATGATAAGCGCCCAGGGCGCTCTCAAAATCAGAAATATGGAGCTCTTCTTAGAATATTATGTTGGTGAAAAACAACAGCTGAAAAGATCGTAAATTTCGTGGTATATGCTGACAGCCTGAAATGTTTATATACGACAGGTATATTTTTCCAGAATTTAACTTCCCATAATTAAGGATGCATATAACACACATATTATACAAAAATAAATACGTCTTGTGTACATTGATCTATCGGAAGGGATGCTAATTGGGATTGTTCATGATCACTAGCCAATATATTAGCAAATATCGCCGTGGGCGCTTATTAGAGCGGGGCACTTATTACGTCGAATACGGTAAACAAGAGTCCCAATGAGGTGGGAGATTCGGTGTGTAGAATATGTAGACGTCTTTCATTTAGTGCCAAAACATTACAGTAAGCATATTGGGGATGGGCCACAGGAACTCGTTATTAGTCAGTATATAAAAATATATACCGTATTCAACGTAATAAGCGCCCAGGGTGCTCTCAAAATTTGAAATAGGGGGCTTATTATTTTGGTGCAAAAAAAACAGAGTTGAAAGATCGTAAATTTTGTGGTTTATGCTGACAGCCTGAAATGTTTATATATATGACATATGTTTTTCCAGAATTTTAATTGCCCATAATCAAGGGTGCATATAACACACGACTGTGTATTATAGACGAATAAACAAGTCTTGTGTACATTGTTCAATCGGAAGGGGTGCTAATTAGGATTGTTCACTAGCCAATATGTTAGCAAATCTCGCCTTGGGCGCTTATTAGAGCGGGGTGCTTATTACGTCGAAGGGGGCACGGGTGGCCCAGTCGTCTAAGGCGCCGTGATTCGCTGTGCAGAGTTGCGTCCCTTGGGCACGCCGGAAACCTATGATTGTGGGTTCGAATCCCGATTCGCCCCGATTATGTTTCTAGGTTTGTCAGCACCATACCCGTGCTTGTGGGTTTCAACGAAGTGGTAAACGTCTGAGACCTGCATCACTTCGGGCTTTCCTCCCACATTAAGCTGACACGGCGTGATATAACTGGAATACTGGTAAAAGCGGCGTTAAACCCAACTCACTCACTCACTGTCCGTGCTGCATATATTACAACTAATGTATTGTTACTGTTTGACTCATGCATTGATTGCTGGGCGATGCAGAGATCATCATATACTTGTGTGACGACTTGGAACATCGATTATCCAGTGTTTTTTGTCACCGAGATCTAGTCCCTTTTTGTTTTTAAAGTAGACATTAAAAGCTGATTCCGTTCCTGTATTTTCACCCATAACCATTCTAACCACTGATATATTTTGGGTGTGCATTAATGTACATTTAGATCATCTGTATGTGTTTCAGATTAATGTGACGTGATGGAGATGTTGTCACAGAGACAAGTTACATTCTTTCTGCTGGTCTGCTTCAGCGCCATCTTAGTCAACGGTAAGGATCTCGCAGCATGAGGGAGATATGGGTGGCCCAGTCAACGAAGGTTTCACAATTCTCTGTTCAGTCCACTCCCCTTTGTCATGCCAGGATCTGCTGATCTAAGATTCACCTTGATTAGATCCTTGGATGTTAGCACAATTCCCAACTGTGCAACGTTTAACCCTTGTGGTGTTCCAACTGTGCAACTTTTATCCCTTGTGGTTTTCAAACTGTCCAACTTTTAACCCTTGTGTTTGTTTGTTTGTTGTTTAACGCCGCACTCAGCAATATTCCAGCTATATGACGGCGGTCTTTAAAATAATCGAGTCTGGACCAGACAATCCAGCGATTGACATCATGAGCATCGATCCACACAATTGGGATCGATGACATGTATCCCGTTAGTCGCCTTTTATGACAATCATAGTCGCCTTTTACGGCAGGCATGGGTTGCTGAAGACCTTTTCTACCCTGGAATCTTCACGGGTCTTTAACCCTTGTGGTGTTGTAGCTGTCCAACGTTTAACTCTAGTGGTGTTCTAGCTGTCCAACTGTTAACCCTAGTGTTGTTCCAACTGTCCAACTTTTAACCCTAGTGATGTTCCAACTGTGCAACTTTTAACCCTAATTGTGTTCCAACTGTGCAACTTTTAACCCCGATGGTGTTCCAACTGTCCAACTGTTAACCCTTGTGGTGTTCCAACTGTCCAACTATTAACCCTTGTGGTGTTCCAACTGTCCCACTGTTAACCCTTGTGGTGTTTCAACTGTCCAACTGTTAACCCTTGTGGTGTTCCAACTGTCCAACTGTTAACCCTTGTGGTGTTCCAACTGTCCAACTTTTAACCCTTGTGGTGTTCCAACTGTGCAACTTTTAACCCTGATGGTGTTCCAACTGTCCAACTGTTAACCCTAGTGGTGTTCCAACTGTGCAACTTTTAACCCCGATGGTGTTCCAACTGTCCAACTATTAACACTGATGGTGTTCCAACTGTCCAACTGTTAACCCTTGTGGTGTTCCAACTGTCCAACTGTTAACCCTTGTGTAGTTCCAACTGTCCAACTGTTAACCCTTGTGGTGTTCCAACTGTCCAACTGTTAACCCTTGTGGTGTTCCAACTGCCCAACCTTTGACCCTGATGGTGTTCCAACTGCCCAACTGTTAACCCTTGTGGTGTTCCAACTGTCCAACTGTTAACCCTTGTGGTGTTCCAACTGCCCAACCTTTGACCCTAGTGGTGTTCCAACTGTCCAACTGTTAACCCTTGTGGTGTTCCAACTGTCCAACTGTTAACACTTGTGGTGTTCCAACTGTCCAACTTTTAACCCTAGTGGTGTTCCAACTGTGCAACTTTTAACCCTTGTGGTGTTCCAACTGTCCAACCTTTGACCCTAATGATGTTCCAACTGTCCGAACTTTAACCCTAGTGGTGTTCCAACTGCCCAACTTTTGACCCTAATGGTGTTCCAGCTGCCCAACTGTTAACCATTGTGGTGTTCCAACTGTCCAACCTTTGACCCTAATGGTTGGAATGCTTGGCTCCATTGTACAGAGAATTTCGAAGCCTTCACGCTGATTGATTAGGAAGTTCAACTGATGCAATCTTCTGTGCAGTTGATGGAGGTGTCTTCAGGTCTTTCTGCCGGGGGTTGTTGTATCAGCATGATGAAAATAAAGGATGTGATTTTAATGAACTTGCCTTATATCTTGTCGTTACAATGTTCAAGTTATGACGAGCACCCCTTGGCCTTCATGTTTGAATTCAAACAGTGTTTGTTTTTCTCCACAGATGCGGCCATTACAAGTACGTCCTGCCCTGAAGTAGCATGCCTTGGCCAGCCGTTCAACATCACTTGTGACATCACAGGGGTGTACGAGACAATTGGGTTTTCCCGGCCAGATGCTCTTGAAGTAACAACGTGCCTGGCCGATGAGGACAAATGCTATGTTAATGTTGATAATTATGAGATTGTGTTTCGGTCTCCTGAAAAGCATATTCTTCGTATCAAGAAGTTTTCAAAGAAGGATATTGGAATGTGGAATTGTCGAGATGGAGACAACCCTCTCTTGAAGACTTGTCGCGTGGATGGTTATGGTAAGATTCTTACCACTTTGAATTTGGGCGGGGGATATAGGAACAGAGTTTTTCGTCAGTCCGCTCCTCAATAGGGACAAATTTTCAGAAAAGCTATATTTTATCCTATCCTATTCTCTTTCTTCTTTCGATCCTATATGTCCGAAACAAAGGTTTCCTGCTTCTACAGATTATACATCCATACATACCTCACGTCGCCAATGTCACCTACCAGATCTAGGTCATGCACGCATTGCATGCTGGTTGACCTACATGCGCCAATCACGTGTCTATCCCAGCAAACTCATCCTCTTTCATCCGGGGTAGAATAGGTCTTCAGCAACCCATGCTTGCCGTAAAAGGCGATTATGCTTGTCGTAAGAGGCAACTAACGGGATCAGGTGGTCAGGCTCGCTGACTTGGTTGATGCATGTCATCGTATCCCAATTGCGTGGATCGATGCTCATGATGTCAATCACTGGATTGTTTGGTCCAGACTCGTTTATTTACAGACCGCCGTCATATAGCTGGAATATTGCTGAGTGTGCCGTTAAACAACAAACAAAAAATCATCCTTGTTCAAATCGCCACACAGTGGTGGTGTGTTTTCGTATCAGGGAATCTATTTTTGTTTTTTCCTTGCCAATTTACCTTTTTCTACGGCATGACGTGTAGGTTTCTCCTTCAGACCCTCATTACGAGTGCTCCGTTTGTCACGACAAGTGTATTTTGTAATTATTTTTCTACAGAGTTACTGCCCTTGCTCCGTGCTTTTTTACTTATGCATACTGCATGAAATGAGGACATGTTTCTTAGAAACTACTTAAGTTACATGAAGGAAGTTAGCGCGCTAGACTAAGAGATACTTGTCAAGACTGAGTTCAAAAATTGGTGCCGTAGATTATGTTTTTCCAGAGTTACATCCCTTGCTACATGTTTTTAGATTTTGTGCAGACATGCCCAGTTCTTGATCCATGTTTTATTTGTTTTATTCAGTGCATAGTGAAAGTGAAATCAGATTTTCCCATGACATAAAGCCACCCCAGTGCCTCTATCTTTCTAAGATTATATTGGACTCTTCTTTCCCCTGTTAACATCAACTTATTTGTTATTCACTACCCTATCATGCCACCCGTGAAGATCCATGTAGAGAATAGGTCTTCAGCAACCCAAGCTTGTCTCCCCGTGAAGACCCATGTAGAGAATAGGTCTTCAGCAACCCAAACTTGTCTCACCTTTAAGATCCATGTAGAGAATAGGTCTTCAGCAACCTAAGCTTGTCTGCCCGTGAAGATCCATGTAGAGAATAGGTCTTCAGCAAACCAAACTTGTCTCACCTTTAAGATCCATGTAGAGAATAGGCCTTCAGCAACCGAAGCTTGTCTCCCCGTGAAGATCCATGTAGAGAAAAGGTCTTCAGCAACCCATGTTTGTCCTCCGTGAAGATCCATGTACCAATCTCATTAAAATCAGATCTTAGTTCTCGTTATCGCTTAGCAAAGATTATCGCTTTGATTTCTTTTCTCACTTCAGATGTAAAACAGTCCCCAACACCCACTACTTCAGGTTGTATTTCTCTTAACAAAGCTGGATTTCGACCGAGTACATTGTGTAGAGGTTTTAAAGAGGATCCAAATGTCAACATCACAATAAGGGTGAGACAGATTAAGGATTTCAAATCACCACTTTTGGTGAAGATTCACTTCCATGTGTGAGTCTGATTCTTGGGATTCTGTGCCTGTGTTTGGCCACTCCTCCATGTGTGAGTCTGATTGTTGGGATTCTGTGCCTGTGTTAGGCAACGCCTCCATGTGTGAGTCTGATTGTTTGGATGCTGTTAGGCCACTTCCCCATGTGTGAGTCTGATGGACGGGATGCTGTTAGGCCACTCCCCCATGTTTGAGTCTGATTGTTGGCATGCTGTTAGGCCACTCCCCCATGTTTGAGTCTGATTGTTGGCATGCTGTTAGGCCACTACCCCATGTTTGAGTCTGATTGTTGGCATGCTGTTAGGCCACTCCACTATGAGTGAGTCTGATGGACGGGATGCTGTTAGGCCACTCCCCCATGTGTGAGTCTGATTGTTGGGATGCTGTGTTAGGCCACTCCCCCATGTTTGAGTCTGATTGTTGGCATGCTGTTTGGCCACTCCCCCATGTGTGAGTCTGATTGTTGGGATGCTGTTAGGCCACTCCCCCATGTTTGAGTCTGATTGTTGGGATGCTGTTAGGCCACTCCCCCATGTTTGAGTCTGATTGTTGGCATGCTGTTAGGCCACTCCCCCATGTTTGAGTCTGATTGTTGGTATGCTGTTAGGCCAGTACCCCATGTTTGAGTCTGATTGTTGGCATGCTGTTAGGCCACTCCCCCATGTTTTGGTCTGATTGTTGGCATGCTGTTAGGCCGCTCCCCATGTTTGAGTCTGATTGTTGGCATGCTGTTAGGCCACTCCCCCATGTATGAGTCTGATTGTTGGCATGCTGTTAGGCCACTCCCCATGTTTGAGTCTGATTGTTGGGATGCTGTTAGGCCACTCCCCCATGTTTGAGTCTGATTGTTGGGATGCTGTTAAGCCACTCCCCCATGTGTGAGTCTGATTGTTGGGATGCTGTTAGGCCACTCCCCCATGTATGAGTCTGATTGTTGGGATGCTGTTAGGCCACTCCCCCATGTATGAGTCTGATTGTTGGCATGCTGTTAGGCCCTCCCCCATGTATGAGTCTGATTGTTGGGATGCTGTTAGGCCACTCCCCCATGTATGAGTCTGATTGTTGGCATGCTGTTAGGCCAGTCCCCAATGTTTGAGTCTGATTGTTGGCATGCTGTTAGGCCACTCCCCCATGTATGAGTCTGATTGTTTGGATGCTGTTAGGCCAGTCCCCATGTTTGAGTCTGATTGTTGGCATGCTGTTAGGCCACTCCCCCATGTATGAGTCTGATTGTTGGGATGCTGTTAGGCCACTCCCCCATGTATGAGTCTGATTGTTGGCATGCTGTAAGCCACTCCCCCATGTATGAGTCTGATTGTTGGGATGCTGTTAGGCCAGTCCCCATGTTTGAGTCTGATTGTTGGCATGCTTTTAGGCCACTCCCCCCTGTATGAGTCTGATTGTTGGGATGCTGTTAGGCCAGTCCCCATGTTTGAGTCTGATTGTTGGCATGCTGTTAGGCCACTCCCCCATGTATGAGTCTGATTGTTGGGATGCTGTTAGGCCACTCCCCCATGTTTGAGTCTGATTGTTGGGATGCTGTTAGGCCAGTCCCCATGTTTGAGTCTGATTGTTGGCATGCTGTTAGGCCAGTCCCCATGTTTGAGTCTGATTGTTGGCATGCTGTTAGGCCAGTCCCCATGTTTGAGTCTGATTGTTGGTATGCTGTTAGGCCACTCCTCTATGTGTGAGTCTTATGGACGGGATGCTGTTAGGCCACTCCTCTATGTGTGAGTCTTATGGACGGGATGCTGTTAGGCCACTCCCACATGTGTGATTCTGATTGTTTGGATGCTGTTAGGCCAGTCCTTATTCTGGATGGAACTCATTGAAGTTTTTGAATATGTTCATCTCTACCCGTGTAGTATGCGTGTAGTAGCGATCAGTAGTGAGTAAATATAATGGTTTTGGACATGTTGGATTTACTGAACAAGTTTTAACATTTTGAATAATATTTTTTTAATTTCTTCCAATCATAACTACTTCTTGACATGTGATCTTACTGTTGTTAAGTGAATGCCAGGGAATATCAATTCAGCACAATAAACATGTCAGGTCACTTCACGAACAGGAGCGGCGGGGTAGCCTATGGTAAAAGCGTTCACTCGTCAAGCTGAAGACCCGGGTTCAAATCCCCCCCTGGGTACAATATGTGAAGTCCATTTCTGGTGTCCCCTGCCGTGCTATTGCTTGAATATTGCAAAAAGCAGCGTAAAACCATCCTCACTCACTCACTCACTAAGCTTACTTACAGGACTGGGGGCACGGGTGGCCCAGTGGTCAAAGGCGCCGCAATTCACTGTGTAGAGTTGTGTTCTTTGGGCAACACCAGAAACCTATGATTGTGAGTTCGAATCCTGGTTCGCCCCAATTATGTTTCTAGGTTTGTCAGCACCATAACCGTGCTCGTGGGTTTCACCAAAGTGGTAAATCTGAGACCTGAATCACTTTGGGCTTTCCTCCCTCATTAATCTGACACGCCGTGATATAACTGGAATACTGTTCAAAGCAGCGTAAAACCAAACTCACTCGCTCACTCACTATAAGTCAATTACAGAGATTATCCTGTGATATGTGATTGTTTGTTTGCTGTTAACGCCTCACAAAGAAATGTTATATTTGGGATAACACTTTCTTAGTAAAGTATAGATTCTCGTACTTTTTGGGGGTTGAGTCCCGTCCGGATTCGAACCCACACCTGCCAGAGTGAGGCACCTAATCGCCAGCACACAAAGTCAGCGATCTAACCCACTCAGCCACCGAGGCTCTGTACGAGAATCTGTACTTCACTAAGAAAGTGTTATCCCAAATATAACATTTGTTACATTTGGCCACTTTCTAAATGGCATTGTGTATTCATAGCTTTCGGCCATGGGAGACATGCCAATTTACACTTGTCAGAGGGGTACTCAAAGTACGTGATCTAGACTACCAGTTGTCGGACTTTCATTTTTGTGGAAGCCTCGGTGGCTGAGTGGGTTAGATCGCTGACTTTGTGTGCTGTTAGTGCCTAAACTATTGTTTCATGATATAAGTAATGTCCAACGTCTTCGAAGTATAACACACAATGAACCAGGTCACTGGGCCTGACCACGTGATCCATTAAGTTGCCCATTTTGACGGCCATGGGTTGCTGTGAGCCAATTCTAACACAGACTCCCCACAGTGTTGATGTGTGAAAAGGTTCATCTGAATAAGGGACCATCTGTAACCAGATAAGCTGGTCCTTTGTCCAGTATTTCAGTCCAAAATGTCCAGATTAGTAAGATATTTCAGTCAGTATATTTTTTTTTTCAGGTGGCCAACCTGCCCTTCACCTTCACGTATGACCAGTACAATCAGAATGATATTGTGACTCTCCCCCACATCCCGAAAGGTGGAGATGTAGAATGCAGAGTCACTGGGCCAGCCTCTCTGTGCTACACTGCCTCCATGCCATACGAGAACAAAATCTGTAAGTTTCCCAGCAAACACGAGGGCTGCATATTGGTAAAAAATTGTATTCCAATATATGAAGGGGTAAAACAATCTGAAAGTCCAATGTTCCGGATACATCAAAAGTAGACATTGACTCATTACAAAAATTTATGGGTTAAAAGTGTGATGACGTTCCTATTTATTATTGTGACATGTGTTTCAAAGGTTGTGCTTACACCATCGAAAATTGTAGACAGTCTAGCTTTTTATACTCATTGTTTACAACATCAGCACATAGTTTCTATATTTATCAAGGGGCGCGGGTGGCCCAGTCGCTAAGGCGCCGCGATTCGCTGTGTAGAGGTGCATCCCTTGGACTAGCCAGAAACCTATGATTGTGGGTTCGAATCCCGGTTCGCCCCAATTATGTTTCTAGGTTTGTCAGCACCATACCCGTGCTCGTGGGTTTCACCGAAGTGGTAAACGTCTGAGACCTGCATCACTTCGGGCTTTCCTCCCTCATTAAGCTGTCACGCTGTGATATAACTGGAATAATGTTAAAAGAGGCGTTAAACCCAACTCACTCACTCACTATATTTATCAGACCTCCAATGAGGCTTGTCCCCCCCCCCCCCCCCCCCCCCAATTAACCATACAACAATGTCACTCACGCTCACTCACTCATACACATACTAACCCACCCACTCACTCATCCACCCCTCCTCATGTGTTTTCACTCACTCACTCACTCACACTCACACACTCATGTACTAACCCACCCACCCACTCACTACCTCACCTATGTACTCACCCAGCCACCCACCCACTCACTCACTCACTCACTCACATACCCACTCACTCACTCACCCACCCACCCACCCACTCACTCACTCAATCACTCACCCACTTTCATCTTTTCAGGTCCAGCTCACGGTCCAACTCCACCTTCTCCATGGTTTTACGTTAGTATTGGCTTTGCAGTTCTACTTGTACTGGTCCTCGTCGGCCTCGTGGTTGATTGGGTGTACTTCAGGCCAAGGGATAAGGGCGCAACTCACTCCGAGAAGGTCAAATTGTGGTCCACGAACGCCTATACAACAACTGGGGAGTACATATAACCTCAGACTTTCAACAAACTTTTAAGCTTAATTGTCCTGAATTTCGTAGTTTTACACCTCCCTGACTTGTGGCACGCCTTGGATAAACTTATTAACATGAATCTGGAGGTCACTAGTGTAAACATATAGAAATGCACTTTTGGTAAGCAATAATACAAAAGACAATCCACTTCAAAACGAAATAATACAGCTAGTTTATGATGACTTTAAAACACATTCATGCTGCTGTATCTCGCACACTAAATGAGTAAATCACGAACCATGTTGTGTTGCCTTCTCGACAAGCATTTTCTCCTGTAAGCAAACATTTTTTCTCAATTTTGCTTCGTATGTATTGTACAATAACACTGTGATATCTCGCTTTGTATATCAGCAACATTACTTACAATTTGTAGGTGTTTTATAATGCAAGGTCTAGCTCGTACTGTCTCCGGTATAGTGTGTTGTTTTCGTCTGTCCTGTAAGCGACATATGTAACTTAATAGCACTTCATGTCCCAGTTCAACACCACCTACAAGTTTTGTGGGTGCGTTATATTGCAATGTCTAGCTCGTACCTTCTCTTTTCGTCCGTACTGTAAGTGACGAGAAGTGGCTGCTTGTATCATGCGCAACACCTATATGCGCATGTACAACACCGTCATGCGCATGCACAAGTCTTTCCTTTGTTCTGCTGCTTTGTTCTCGGCCATTTTGACCGCCTCCGTGGTCTAGTGGTAGAGCGTCTACCTGGAGAGCAAAAGGTCCAGGGTTCGATTCCCGTCCGCGTCATACCAAAAGACGTTAAAAGATTGTACTTGTTGTTACCCCGTCTGGTGCTCGGCATTTAGGGTCTGAAACAAGGACTGGTCGGCTCGAAGTAAATATACTGTGTCTGATTGGGGTATTCATGTAAAACTGCGGAATGGTTTCTCAGTGAGCTAGCACTATAAATCTGCATCAGTCCGGACAAGTACAAGCAGCCACATACACACACATGTGCATGCACGTCGCTATACAAGTGCAATAATCTTGGACGTGATGTTAAACCCCATTTCACCTCACCTCATATCAATTTCAAGCGCTTCAAAAGCTTCCCACCTCCTGCCTCCCTTACTACACCATCCCTTACTACACCATCCTTGTCTCATTACAGGCAACCATGTATACTGTAACGATGTTCGTGTGTGTACCCAGTTGATGGTGTCTGACACACCCTTACAGTGCAAGCATTGACTTTTACCTTTGACGTATCTGTGTCTTCAGAAAAACAAATTACACCAATTTTAGTTATTATATTTAACAAAAATTTTGAGAGTGGTAACTTTCTAGATGTGTTGGGAAAAAGTATCATCTGTCCTCTGTTCAAGTCTGGTGATATGAATGATGCCTACAATTATAGAGGTATATCACTCATTGATACCATATGCAAAGTGTTTACATCTATTCTTAATGCTAGACTACAGAGGTGGTGTGATGATAACAATATCATTGACGAATCTCAAGCTGGATTTAGACCCAACTATTCCACAACAGATCATATATTTTCACTACAGGCCATTATCCAAAAGTATGCATGTAAAAAGAAAGAAAGGTTCTACTGCTTATTTGTAGATTTCTCAAAAGCTTTTGAGAATGTGGATCACAATATGTTGTTACAGAGTTTGGCTGATATTGGTGTCTGCGGAAAGTTTTTGTCTATTATAACATCAATGTACGATAAACTGTGTGCCTGTGTTAGAACACCTGCTGGATTATCCAAATACTTTAAGTGTAATATAGGTACCCGTCAAGGATGCATCCTCAGCCCTCAGATGTTTTTAATATTCATAAATAAACTTGTAAATTTTATGGAAAATTATGGAGGACAAACCGTCTTTATTACTAAAGACTGCCCAGCAATATATGCACTTATGTTTGCTGATGATGTGTCATATATTGCTGATACACTTTTAAATTTACAAAAGAAGACCAATGCCTTGGAACATTTTTGCAATACCACAGGTATGAAGGGTAAACTTGAAAAAAACTAAAGTTATGGTATTCAGAAATGGCGGACCCCTTAGACATTATGAAAAATGGAAATTTAATAGTGTATATATTGAAACTATGTCGTTTTATAGATATTTGGGTATTGTGTTCACACCCAAACTTGTTTGGACTAAGGCACTAAATACTCTTGCTGCACAGAGTAACAAGGCCATTCTGACATTATATAGATATCAAAAGAAAGTTGGTAATATACCCTGTCAAGATTTATTTAAGATAGTTGATGCTATGATTGTGCCTATTGTCTGTTACGGCGCAGAAATATGGGTCATCTCATATTGTAAAGTGATTGAAGATGTACAGAATAAAATGTTTAAATGGTTTCTAAACACAGGTAAAACAACAAACAATGCAATGGTTTTAAAAGAGTGCGGAAGAGCCCCTCTCCAACATGTGTATACCACAAGGGACATCAAGTATTGGTGCAGGCTACTGCGTTTGGACGAGCACAGACTGCCTCGCCAATGCTATTTAATGCTCAAATCACTGGACCATTCTGGTCGCACCACATGGGCTACTCACATTAAGAATATTTTGTTTAAATTAGGTTTTGGATATGTATGGTTAACACAAGATGTTGGCAATGTGAAGATATTTATTCATCTTTTTAAGCGAAGATTATTTGATAACCTTCAACAATCATGGTGTAGTTCTATCAATAGTATATCTGATAACTTTTATTATACTCCCGTTCACAAAGTAAATCGGGGGTATATAGCGTTCCGTTCGTTCTTCCGTCCGTCCGTCCTTCTGTCCGAGCTTTTGTACGGCCCATAACTTATTAACCATGCACCCTAGCTTCACCAAACTTTCTCCACACATTAACCATAATGCGTACTTGTGCCTTTTGCTAGTTTGAAGATTCTAAAAAAAATAATTTTTGCCGTTTCCATAGAATCATGGTGAAACATAAAATTTGGGTAGAGTTTTTGTACGATCCATGTTGACAATATTATGTATTCTAGCTTCAGCAAACTTGCTACATTAACCACTGTGATTGTTTTTTATCTTTTATAAGATCCTGAAAGTTTCCTCTTATGCTGTTTTCATGGAAACATGATGGAATTTTAAAATTGTGATCACTGGTTTTGTATAGCTTATATATTTTCTAAATTTGTTTCCACCTATGTTGATCATCATAAGTATCTGTGCTTTGTGTTAGTTTGAATTTATGAATTCTTTACCATTTATGTTAAGGCTAGATGGAAATTATTAATTTATTGATTTTCTTATATGATATTGTTCCATTTTTATGTGTTTTTATACCAACAATTTTTTATCCTTTTGATAATTCTTCTTATGTAACTCCTCAATCAAATTTTTATTCAAAGGTGTTCATGGTGATCACCTTCCTCGGAGTGAACACTGGTAACATGGGAGATGGGGGGGGGGGGGGGGGGGGGGTCAATTGTCACTGGAACTCAATCTTAGTTTTTAAACCATTGAAGTTAAAATCAGTTAGAAATATGTAATATTTCATTAATTAACAAACTATTTACTATTTGTTGTTGACCAGCGGAGATAACGGGGGTATGTGAGCTTTGCTCACTTCTTTCTTGTTATAAACATTTTAAATCCCTGTTAAATGTAGAAAAATATCTTACACTCCCCATACCAGTACATCTGAGAATATGTATGACTCGTTTCAGATGTAGCAAGTTTAAACTTGCAATTGACTTGGGGAGATAAACAAATGTCCCATACACTCAACGATTATGTAAATATTGTATAGAAAATGGTATATCTTTTATTGAAGATGAATTTCATGTTTTACTTGTATGTGAGCGTTATTCAGCCCAAAGAAATATGTATATTAAACAGTACATCAAGTTTCAAACTGTAACATCTTTTACTGAAATTATTTCATCAGAAAACTTTGATGTTGTATAACACATGTTTATATCTATATAAAGTCCAACGGCTAAGAGAAACCTAAATCGACTACTTCCTTAGCATGCGTAGTTCATGCAATCAACCATTGTCTGTATTATGGGCCTATGGCCTTCTTACTGAATAAACTGTCTGTCTGTCTGTCTGTCTGTCTGACGTATCTGTGTCAGCACTCACATGCCCATTGATGTACTTTGGTATTTTTATATAGTTTTTGCCATCAGTTCTGGAATTCCACCTTATACGGGGTATATCTACTATATTAAACTGCATAACCAACCGCTATATTTTCCTGTAGCTCAGGACACTTTCTAGCGTTGGGTCCATGGCATGGGCACTTTCAAGCTCAAAGTGTATGTAAGTTTTTTCCTGGCCTCCCTATATCTATACCGGCCTTAATATCCGGCCTTAATATCTGTCCTTAATATCCGGCCTTAATATCCGGCCTTAATATCTGGCCTTAATGTCTGGCCTTAATATCCGGCCTTAATATCCGGCCTTAATATCCGGCCTTAATATCTGGCCTTAATATCTGGCCTTAATATCCGGCCTTTGTATCCGGCCTTAATGAAGCTCATGAGGATAATCTAACCCGCATTCCACTCACTTTAAGGTGAGAAGTCCCCAAACGCCAAAATGTTTTATGTATTTCATGTAATAAAAGTTTGGTATCTTTTCCTGTGTTTGTTGGTCATTATAAATAGAGAATCTCACCAGAGTGTCGTTTGATATCAAATATATCAACAGGAGCTGATAAAAGCGGGAAAACTTCCCGAGGATTTTTTCCACTTTTATCAACGAGTGTTGATATATTTGATATCAAAAGACAAGAGGGTGATATTTTATTTATCATCCAACATCATTCTTCCAACTTTTTCAATTTGTAGACAGTAATAAGCAGTGTCTTAAGTGTAAAAAGTACTGCTAACAGCTTCAATAGCAGAGCCATTAGTGATGTCATTTGATTGTGACGTCATGGTTACCAATGACGTCACAATGGTCTGCAAAGCATTGTGATGCAATTTCATTGCAGCGATATCTACAGTGTAGATATCGTCGCTTGATCTCACCCAAGCGATATCTCCTGTGGGAGCAAGTTTTGGATGATAAATACATGTTTAAAAACAGCTTTCAATTCACATGTTAAAGGTCTGCAGTGTATTTGACGAATTCTGCTGTAGATAAATGCAAAATTCTGCATGAGTTCTGCAGAAAGTATGATTTTCTGCAAGAAAGGTACATTTCTGCACTCCACGGCAATCATAGACCCATACCACAAAGTGATTTCAGCGCTGTGAAGATCATAAGTGAATGTTAAAGTCAACTTAAGATAATACAAGATAACTTTAACATAAGTTTGTGAGCAGATGATGCCATGTGCATGTGAGAGTACTCCCTGTGGAGGTTCCATGCTTGTCATTACAGGTGACTGCGTGGATCAGGTGGTCAGGCTCGTTGACTTGGCTGATTGGTTGGTTGGTTGGTTGTTTAACGCCGCACTCAGCAATATTCCAGCTATATGACGGCGGTCTGTAAATTATCGAATCTGGACCAAACAATCCAGTGATTAATATCATGAGCATCGATCCACGCAATTGGGATCGATGACATGTATCAACCAAGTCAGCGAGCCTGACCACCCGATCACGTTAGTCGCCTTTTACGACAAGCATAGTCGCCTTTTACGGCAAGCATGGGTTGCTGAAGACCTATTCTATCCCGGAATCTTCACGGGTCACTTGGCTGATTGCATATCATCAAATCCAAATATGTGGATCATGCCCATGATGTCGATCACTGGCTTGTCCAGTCCAGACTTGATTATGTATATAGAACACTGTCATATGAATACTGGAATATTGCTGAGTGAGTCATTGAACAACAAACATACATTGTACATGACAGTATGAGACGTATGATAGTCTTAGCGGTAAGATCACTTTGTGTCCCAGGTCTCATTTCACCGTCAATAGCGGTAATCTGACCGTGGTTGCTGTTAATAACGGTGAGTTGTGCGATCTTCCGATCGCTTCACACACGATTTCGCCGAAATTAATTAAAACAATATTAAAAGGATTTTTGAATAAAATTAATTAAATAAGTTACATACATACATACATACATACATACATACATACATACATACATACATACATACATACATACATACATACATACATACATACATACATACATACATACATACAAAGAACACTTTTTGTAGCCAGACAGTGTAATTACATGATGATTTTGCGTACTTCAGTATGGATTTGTTGACATGGTATTTCCGGTGTTACGTGTTCAAATGTAATTATTTCGTGTATAATGCGCACCCCCTTCTACACAGCTGTGTTTTTTGGAAAAAAAAGTGTGCACTATATTCAAGAAAATACGTTATTGACACATGAAATAATAATGACCTAACTATGTTCCCGAGTGTTTTCAGTGGTCCCGATAAACATGTGTCAGTTGTACTGACGATACAGCGTTATTCAAATCCATTCCCAAAATATATACATTGCGTTTAGTTTCGTCTCATCATAATCACACATGCATGTAAATGAATATATTATAGAACCGGATCCGATCCAGTTGTCATTTTCCTAATCACACAATTTCACAATTTCAGTAGTCGACATACATATTACAGAATGGTATATATGCATATAAATACACTGTTTAGTCCAGAGAGTTAAGTTTTCACATTTTTCAATCCCGAAACACGAGATAAGGGCAGTAGTAGATAACGTTTTGAGTATAGCACGCTGTAAGGTGTTGTGTACAATGTGGTAATTAGTGAGTGAGAGTGAGTGAGTAAAATGTAACGTCACTGTAGTACTTACACAAGTGGGGCCATAACATGAAAGAGATCTGTGCCTAATCTGATTAGCATTGGATTAGATTTTCGTGATATAATGTTCCAAATTTAAGAGAAACGCTGGCCATGCTCGTTGGATTTTGCTCGAAATTTATTATTTATGTTATATTGCATGTGTGAGCCTGATTTTGTTTTATAGAAATACACCTTTCAACTATTTAATATTTATTGCAGGCAATTTCCTTTTTTACAACAGTTTGAAGCATATGATGGTTTTCGGAAAAATCCCACGTCTCCCCAGAATATGAACTGGTCAGTCACTAGTATGTACGGGCAGGGAGAATTTAGTTGTATTATTGTTGAGTGCGGGATAAAAAATAGGAAACAAACACCCCATGTCACATATCCATTAGATATTCACAGTCGACAGTCGATACAAATGTTAAGAAAGAAAGCAGGATATATCACTTTCCATGATCACCTAATTCATTAGAGCTTAATATATATTGCTTGCGTTCCTGATGATAAAAATGTTCATTTCAGGAATGAGTACTGTTAAATTAAAGTAAAATTCCAAAATTTCGGTAAATATTTACCATTTAATCCGACAAGTCATTTTATTCATTTTGTTTATCAACCAACCACCTGTCGATTGAATAGGAGGTGAGGTGAAATGGGGTTTAACGTCGCGTCCAAGAGTATTGCACTTATATAGCGACGTGCATGTATGTGTGTGTGTTTTGAGGTTATTTTATCGATATTTTCAATATAAGTGAGCATGTCAATTATTATAAAGCATTATTCGAGGAGCAGTGAGTCATTAAGAGCATGTTCCTATCATACTTAAGTCATCGATGTTGTGATCACCTTCGTGTGTGTCGACTTCCGTCAGTAGAACGGTACACGCTTATTTGTTTCCCGGAAACCTGATGGTTCTACTACACCAATCAGATCCAGTTTGGACAGTGCCGTTTTCGTAGGGAGCCTTCAGTGCAGATCGAGAGATATCTGCAGGCTGTGATTGGAGGATATTCTGTACGATTTTTATGACTTTCAAATGTACATCCATCCAGTTTTTAAAACTGACCATGTTTTTCTTTATTTAGGACTGTCTTTTTCAACATGATGACTTATGCTGAATGTTACCACAGATATTTTCAAGTAGGTGACATTTCGTGCGAAACTGGGGGTGGTGTGTTTAGCTTCCTGTTTGCGGAAAAGGAGCTGGCTAAGCTAGTCATTTTTTATTTTTTTATTGGTGCTCTAAGGCCAAACTGTGCACACACGTACAGGTAATAGCTGTTGAATGCTTAGTTATTTTAAAAAAAATATAACGTAACTATAGAAGTCTATGGGAAAACATTTGGTTGTGTGTAACCTGATGTCGCCAACATTTGTTTCCGAGCACGCGGTGTTACCACCTTCCTCTGTGACATTGATTCGTCACTGCACATGCAATAGTGGTCCACTGTACCTTCATTATACGGTATTATAAACCTATTCATTGGGATCACTATTAAGTAAGGGACTTCTTTCTATAGGTATTAAAACCTATTGTGAGGTTTTACTTTCCAGTTGGGTTAAATCTGATAAACTGGGACGTTGTAATGTCCCAGGGATTTTATATAATGTCCTGGGTATTTTATTAATATAACTTCCGTTCAGATTGTAACATGTAATGAAATGTAAAATCAAATGACAAAATGTTTTCTTTATATTCCCGAGGATCGAACACGCAACCTTAATATCTGTAGCCCAGTGAGTGTACCACGAGGCTACAGAGGTGTTGATAAGCTTCACTGGTTTTTAGAATGTCCTTTTCAAGATCCGTACGCCAGCAACAGACATTTTACGCGCAACAGAGCATGCCCTGGGGGTCGGGAAAAGCTGCGGGGGCTTCGCCCCCTTGGTTTTTCCCTCTCCCCAGGGCATGCTCTGTCTACCAAAACCTCGTGAGCGTGTTTTCTCCAATACATGGACATTCTATAAATATGTATTTCTAATTATACACCCACCTTTTGTTTAGACAAACGACGTGAACATGCGTGTATTCATGTTAATATATTGTAACATAAAACAACGCGGACAAGCCTGACTATGAGGAAATGTTTTTCAAACTATTCACAACAATACATATTCGTGTCCTGTTTCTTAATAATCTTCACTGTTATGTATGCGGGTGGCACTTAACCACAGAATAAGTGATACGAAAATTTGCATCGTTTTAAAAAACCATAACTTATCTGACAACGGTAATTGTTAAACGAACATGGATGTTTCAACAGCATGGTTCAACACGTGATCGGCCAAGACACCACTACCCTAGACAACCCTCCTACCAGAACACTAACACCTACGCTCGTCCCACCACGCAACTACCCATGGCGGCCTTCTCACAACACTAGCCCAGACACCCTTCCCACCACACCACTACCTCAGACACCCCTGCCACCACACCCTTACCTCAGACACCCTTCCCACCACCCCACTACCTCAGAAACCCCTGCCACCACACCGCTACCTCAGACACCCCTCCCACCACACCGCTACCTCAGAAACCCTTCCCACCACACCACTACCCCAGACACCCCTCCCACCACACCACTACCTCAGACACCCCTCCCACCACACCACTACCTCAGACACCCCTCCCACCACACCACTACCTCAGACACCCTTCCCACCACACCACTACCTCAGACATCATTCCTACCACACCACTACCTCAGACACACCTCCCACCACACCACTACCTCAGACACCCCTGCCACCACACCCCTATATCAGACACCCTTCCCACCACACCACTACTTCAGACACCCCTCCGACCACACCACATCCCAAGACACCCTTTCCACAAAACCACTACCCCAGAAACCGGTCCCACCACACCACTACCCCAGAAACCCTTCCAACCACACCAATACATCAGACACCCTCCCCACCACACCACTACCCCAGACACCCCTCCCACCACACCACTACCTCAGACACCCCTCCCACCACACCACTACCTCAGACACCCCTCCCACCACACCACTACCTCAGACACCCCTCCCACCACACCCCTATATCAGACACCCCTCCCACCACACCACTACCTGAGACACCCCTGCCACCACACCCCTATATCAGACACCCTTCCCACCACACCACTACTTCAGACACCCCTCCGACCACACCACATCCCAAGACACCCTTTCCACAAAACCACTACCCCAGAAACCGGTCCCACCACACCACTACCCCAGAAACCCTTCCAACCACACCAATACATCAGACACCCTCCCCACCACACCACTACCCCAGACATCCCTCCCACCACACCACTACCCTAGACAGCCCTCCCACTACACCACTACCTCAGACACCCTTCCCACCACACCACTACCTCAGACACCCCTCCCACCACACCACATCCCAGACACCCTTCCCACCACACCCCTACCGTAGACATCCCTCCCAACACACCACTACCCCAGACATCCCTCCCACCACACCACTACCCCAGACACCCTTCCCACCACACCACTACCTCAGACACCCTTCCCACCACACCACTACCCCAGACATCCTTCTCACGACAACACTAACCCAGACACCCTTCCCACCACACAACTACCCCAGACATCTTTCTGACCACACCACTACCCCAGACACACTTCCCACCACACCACTACCCCAGACACCCCTCCCACCACACCACATCACAAGACATCCATCCCACCACACCACTACCTCAGACACCCCTCCCACCACACCACTACCCCAGACACCCTTCTCACCACACTACTACCTCAGACATCCCTCCCACCCCACTTGGACACGTGGCTCTAGAAAATGGCAATCCCATCAAGTTTTATTGAAGTCCTCCAAACATTGCTTTGCTAATCATGAAACCAAAGCGTTAATTATAGCAAGTATCCATACTACACAAATCAAATATATCATTTTCACGCAAACACGGCAAAGGTAAGAGAAAGAGACAGGTCCTTGTTTAAAGGAATGTCAGTTACTCATGTGTTGTTGTTTTTAAAAAAATACTGCATGATTTAGGCGTTGGTACAATAGTGAAAATTCCGTCTCAATAGAAATCTAGCCCATGATTCGTTTCAGTGCCCAGTGCCCGTTCGTCAATGCATAACGTTCTAATGGTATGTTACGTGGTTAATGGTTATAGATATATTGACAATGCCCGTTCATAAAGGTATAATGCTCTGATTAAAGGGACACGATGCTCTGAAAAATGGCAAAGGTCGACATATGACGACTAGAAAGAGACTGGAAATGAGCCGCGAGGATAGTCCCTCTTTAAAGCAAAATGGAATTACCTTATGTAGATGTTAATGCTAGATATAATAAAATGCATGGTATTGGCAATAGTGAGAATTCAATATCAATTGAGTTTATATGAAGTTCTAATAATATGTTTCGTGGTGAATGACTGTCTTGTGTAGAACAGTAATATCACAGACAGAAAATCCTGTTGGCTGTGTCATATAGCGAGAATGTCCAACTGACAGACACTGTCGGACATCCAGCCATCGAACTGTACACAAGAGGAAAACACCAGCTACAGATTTAACCAAAGGCGTTGTTTCATAAAGTAACGGATATTTGATAAAAGCCTCTTACCACAGATGTCTTCGAATGGATAGCTGGTATTTCTGTGTTATGTATCAACTCGCCATTTGCAATAGTTATACCTGGATTCACTCATATACACTTTGCGGGGGCACGGGTTGCCTTGTGATAATTACATTAATTCAGTATTACATTAAGTCTTTCTACTTCTTGAATAATAACGATAACAGTAATAAAGCTTATCTTATAGTACTATATACAGTTAGTATAACAGAAAGTCAATTCATGATCCCTACATAATGACATAATACTGATATCACAGTATACTGTACAGTGACGTAGAACTGATATGACGTATAGTTTACAATAACGCAGTTCTAATGTAACTTTACATTACAATGACATCATAATGATATGATATATACTTAACAATGACGTTATACTGGTATGACGTATATTTTACAATGTTGCCTGTTGGTTGTTTAATGCCGCACTCAGCTATTTTTCATCTACATGACGGCTGCGTGAGCCTGGACCAGACAATCCAGTGATTGATATTGTGAGCAACGATCACGCTTACATCATATACGGCTTTTCCACTGGACGAGAGGTCGTTTACATGACATTATAAGTGTATGAACGACACAAGTTAGATTTAATTTACACAAACTTATACATGTTGTAGAAACACTGGAAACTAAACGTACAAATAACAACCCGTTGGTTTGGAAGATAATTATGTGCAGAAGGGAAAAGCGTTAAATTCGCAAATCTATGAGGAAAACACGGCGAGACTATCCGAAGCTCTCTGTATAGTGACAAGTCAATATCAAAATCGTTGGATGGGAGCAGCAAGGAGATATGGTTACCGAAACTCCATTGTCCCTTTGATGTTTGAGGCACCAGCATAATACCGTCATGGTGTTTGGATACGTGTATATTTACACAGTGTACTTAACTGGATATGACATTATAGATACTGCCTCCCTCAAAGGGAGCTCGGTACAAAGTGGTGTATTCATGTCCTGCTGTTTCATCCGTTCGTCCATCAACGTCATTAGGAGAATCGTACACATTTCTATCACTTTGTGTTTCTGGCTGTTGTGATTGCTTCATCTTTACCAGCATCAGTACCAGAATGACGATGATGATGGCAAACACGCTTCCGGCAACGACAGCCCCTATGATGACAACAGAGCTATTGCTTCCATTACTTTCTTTCGCCGCCTTCACTGAAAAAAGTGTAAAATGTGTATGTAAACAATTGATTGAATTATTTAGGATATCAATACCTTGGAAGAAATGATAAAATATAATAATAGTGAAGGAGATGTTAAACGCTAACCGTTTGGCTAAAACCCAGGAGCAGGGATGTAGACACACCAAACATACGATCACAGGATTTTGACACGCTACACAAAGCGTATAAAACAGTCGGTTCTCCCACTGTCAGTAACATGGCAAACAACAAAACAATTCCTGTCTGCTCAACTTATTTAAAGTGCTCTAAACTTAATTAACCTGTCTCTTTATTACACATCCACCATCTATCCTCAACTCAAATCAATACTAGAGCAAAATTAAAGGTTCAGTACCTTGACAAGCAATTTCCCAACTCGTATTGCCACAGACAAAGACCAATGTCTTTGTCCCTACAAGGGATGCTGTTACATTGACTGTAATCTCAAACATGCCAACAGTAGTATTAGTACGTGATGTATTCAACAGTCTTCCTGTAACGTTTCCAGTCTTCAAATACAGCTCAATGGAGTCAGAACAATGGTAGTCTTGTACACGTACTGTCACTTTCTCTGCAGCCCGGCTGCTCAATATGTCACATGACGGGGGTTCTGAAATACAAAATACACAACTAATGTAACGTTGTTGTTTTTTATACAAAGTATACGAGAAGAACAGTTGCTTTATCCTATATGTCGATGTTACACCTACTGATCTCTATATATATTACGATTTATGTGTAAAATGTTCACTTAGGCAAAATACAAAACGCCAAAATATTTCAGTCATTTTACAATTATTTCCCCGTCAGATTGACTAAAAGTTTTTTAGAAGTTCAAAAGGGCTTAAAAACATCAAAAAAGTCTAACTATGCTAGGATCAGGAGCCAAAAATCAGCAATATACATTTACTTTCGTTTTCTTTCTGTCACTGGGTGATTATACAGATAATAAACATATGTGGAATTAGTTATCAAAATACGATAAATGGAAAGATTCCGGGTTAGAAATGGTCTCCAGCAACCCACGCTTGTCGTAAAGAGGTGACTAACGGGATCGGGTGGCCAGGCTCGACAGACTTGGTTTATGCATGTCATCTTGTCCCCATTGCTTAGATTGATGCTCATGATGTCAATCACTAGATTGTCCGGTCCAGATTCGATTATTTACAGACAACCGTCATATAGCTGGAATATTGCTAGGTGCGACGTTAATCAGCAAATAATCTTATAAATGGAAAACTCATTGTAAAATGATTTAAATGTTATGGCGTTTTGTAAATGCCAAACTGAAAATTTAAGTTAATTTACATCAATTTGGACTGTAACATATGTATATTTGTATCATGTCTTACCAATAGCTGAGAAATGTTTTGTCTCAATTATAACCCTGGCAAGCAAAACAATACACAACCCCTGATGTTGCACTTACATATTTGTCATGATCGGGCACCGTTGCTACAACGACGTGATGTATCGATTCATCAGGTGATGGTCTATGCTAAAATAACACACTTACTTGCAACTGTCATGAAACAACGTGACACATTATCCCCAATGGAGCAAGTTCACCTTCCCGCGTATGATAGTTGTACCCCTGGCAGTGTGAGAACACTGTAGGAAGAGTTTGGTATAGTCACCATCACGTCCCCTTACGGCGTCATGTTCACATGACGTTTCCGTACATCCATTCAGCATAACATCACGCAAATCTTACAGAACGAAATATTTATCTCCTAAATGAAATAATAGTGAAAGGGATGTTAAGCGCTAACCATTTGGGTAAAACCCACGAGCATGGATGTAGACACACAAAACAAACGATCACAAGACTTAAAAAAGGACAGCATATATGAAGGTTCAGTACCTTGACAAGCAATTTCCCATCTCGTATTGCCACAGACAAAGACCAATGTCTTTGGCTCTACAAGGGATGTTGTTACATTGACTGTGATCTCAAACATGCCAACAGTGGTTTTAATACGTGATGTATTCAACAGTCTTCCTGTAAAGTTTCCAGTCTTCAAATACAGGTCAATGGAGTCAGAACAATGGTAGTCTTGTACACGTACTGTCACTTCTTCTGCAGACCGGTTACTCAATATGGCACATGATGGGAGTTCTGAAATACAAAATACACAACTAATGTAACGTTGTTGTTGTTGTTTTTTATACAAAGCATACGAGAAGAACAGTTACTATATCCTACATATCTACTGATATATATATATATATATATATATATATATATATATATATATATATATATATATATATATATATATTTGTATCATGTCATACCAATAACTCAGAAATGTATAATTCTAATTTTGCACTGACAACTTTGTCGTGATCGGGCACCGTTGCTACAACGACGCGATGTATACAGTCACCAGGTGATGGTCTGAGCTAAAGTAACATACTTACTTGCTACAGTCATGAAACAACCTGTCACATTATCCCCAATGGAGCAAGTCCAGCGTCCTGCGTGTGACTGTTTTACCATTGGTAGTGTGAGGACACTGTAGGAAGAGTTCGGTATTGTCACCATCGCGTCAGGTAGACATTTTGCAGTGGTCATGTCACATGTGGTCACCATGCCCCCTGATGGCTGGATGTAGGAGTGTGTGCGTCCTGTGCCACTGCAGCTCAGGTTTGCGGGCGAGTCCAAGAATCCTATCTCTGGACACACAAGCTCTGCTGCACCTGGGATGTATTAATACAGTGTCATTATATGTTGACACCGGCGACATTGGAGAATCTCGGAGACCGTACTGATTGCATGTCATCATATCCCGACTACACGGTACTTGCACGCGAAAACAATATTTACAGTGACATAACTGGAAATAAAATAACAATGAAACAAAAACACATTATTGTAGCATGTATTACACGCAGTAGGAGACAAAACATGTTTTTATTCACTACGTACGAGTATTGTCGCAATCAGTTGAAACAAAAGTACTTTTCTTCGTTACGTACCTTGGGAAAACTGAGTCAAATGTATACCAAGAAGGATGTATAATCCGAGACTGTCACTTCTTCCAGTGAACTCCATCTGTAGAATGAAGGTGTTCTTGTTTATGCATATGGATCAAGGTAAGAAAGATAATAAATTCATTCTGGACGCACAGCAACAGCGTCTTTTTTTGTTTTTTGTTAAACGCTGCACAATAGTCTAGATTTTTATGCAAACGTGTAAATAATTGAGTGTGGACCAGTGATTGATATCATATAGACAGTTGTGTTGACTTAGTATGAAATAACGTCCGAATGTTAATGACGTCACATCGTATACCTGTTTAACAATGTCGTATACCATGATAACACTGTCTTCATGCGATCTTCAATAAATATAACAATATTTTTTTCATTAAGTCAAAGGGAATAATGTATTGTATTTTACTTTCTTTTATGAAATTCATGTATTTTCCTCACTTCTATTGTGTAGTTAACATAACTGATGTGAAAAGTCGAATTACACAACAATGATAACGGCATTTCTTACCAATACATATTGTAATTACTTGTCACTTTCCTCACGTCCTGTATAACCTTAACTGATTCTGAGGTACAAAAATGCCACTCAGTGTGACCTGTGGTAAAAAAACACAATGACACAAAATAGGCTAGTTTCTCTGTCTGTCAAAGTTATATGTTTGGACTAATACTAATTATTCGTCGTAAAGCAACATGCTTTCAGGTCGTGGATGGAATGTGAACAGCAATCGCTGATCTATTTACTAAAAGTAATATTCGTCGGATCATTTCTGCCCTTATAACAGATGGCTTTGATCTGAGGATGTGTATACCTTTGGTTTAAATCAATGACAATTAACGAATCATGTCTACAGTGTATATAAACTTACTGTTGTTGCAGGTAGTCAACCAGTCTTGCTCCTTCCCTGAACACTCCGCACCCACAGTAGTAGATCTGCAGTCAGCTGAGCTGCATTAACATGAATCAAATTACAAATACTTCCCTTGAATAATACATATGCGAATATACTTCCTTAAACTAATGGTGTTGTGGTAGATTATTTTTCACAGAAACAATAGAAACGTGTTGAGGCAAAACAAAAGTTTACACCATGATAATCACCGACACATGAAGCAGACACAGATTACATCAAACCCAAATTTAACGCTATCGTGGTCACCTTGAAGGAAGTAGGAAGTAAAATGATAAATTTTCCGACCATGTGTTATTTGGTGAGGGTTGTTGTTTTGTTTCGTTTTTGTGTACTGTGATACATATATTTCACCCCAAGGCAACTTTTCAGCAGATTTGTGTCAAGCTAGAGAATTTGTTCATGCGTTTGTCATTTCATATTTATTTTTATTAATCGACAGCAGGAAATAAACTGAAATCGGCGCTTCACATAGAAGCACCCGATTTGAAAGGGCAAATAGGTTTTTGTCTGGCCAATAGGGTTTAATCTGGCCAATAGTGTTTTGTCTGGCCAATAGGGTTTTATCTGGCCAACAGGGTTTTGTCTGGCCAATAGGGTTTTGTCTGGCCAATAGGGTTTTGTCTGGCCAATAGGGTTTTGTCTGGCCAATAGGGTTTTGTCTGGCCAACAGGGTTTTGTCTGGCCAATAGGGTTTTATCTGGCCAATAGGGTTTAATCTGGCCAATAGGGTTTTGTCTGGCCAATAGGGTTTTGTCTGGCCAATAGGGTTTTATCTGGCCAATAGGGTTTTGTCTGGCCAATAGGGTTTTGTCTGGCCAACAGGGTTTTATCTGGCCAAGAGGGTTTTGCGCGTAATGGATTTCCTTACTTTGCAATTACAACAAGGCGATAGACAGCTATCACACTTTCTTATAAATGTGACAAATGTTACCTTTTTCTGGATCTCGGAGACTGATACCATGTGGAACATGACTGATACTATGTAGAACATGACTGATTCCATGTGGAATATGACTGATACCATGTAGAATATGACTGATACCATGTGTTACATGACTGATACCAGGTGGAACATGACTGATACCAGGTGGAATATGACTGATACCATGTAGAATATGACTGATACCATGTGTAACATGACTGATACCAGGTGGAATATGACTGATACCATGTAGAATATGACTGATACCATGTGGAATATGACTGATACCATGTAGAATATGACTGATACCATGTGGAACATGACTGATACCATATGGAATATGACTGATACCATATGGAATATGACTGATACCATGTAGAATATGACTGATACCATGTGGAACATGACTGATACCATATGGAACTATTTTATTCCGCTGTATAGCTGGTTGTTGTATGGTTGTCAGTGTAAACATGAAATCACACCTACTAAATAAAATTGTGTTTAGATCTAGGCCTACATCCTTTGAGGTAACAAATTGTGATAATTTTTTTATAAAATTGACTTTCACTTTGTGAGAGTTCATTGGAGTATGAACCTTCGTAGAGTGAGGGCCAAACATATAGTTACAGGCCTTCATACAGTTTGGCCCTCACTCTATGAAGGTTCATACTCCAATGAACTCACACAAAGTGAAGGTCAATCCTTAATCATCATCCAAAACTGGCTCCCACAGGAGATATCGCTTGGTTGAGATCAAGCCATATATACACT